CATGATTTATAATACGAAAACTGACATAAAAGCGTAAATCAAGAGATGTTTTGAAATCAACGTTCTGGTAATGCAATATAAACATATTAGGACCAAAATGTTCTTAAATGAAATGCTCAAACATTCAAAAATCATATTTAGGAAAAAAAATGGAATACTTAAATGAGATATTTGTCAAAAATGTCAAAGATGCTTATTATGCCCTTACGAAGCATACATGAATACTGAAATGGAAATCCAATGCTAATGGAATGAGCAGGAATGAAGTCAGAGATACAGTTTCGAATAGTGAGTATGCACTAGCAGTGCCTGAAGTCTCATTTGTATCAATAGGAGGAGTCAAGTGATTCACTCGAGTTTGCAATCTTCCAATGATCTATACTACCTTTGCAAGCTACTCATTGCCTTTGCCTCATGGTTGAGCATCTTCGCTCTGGGATATGTTGAAGGCCTTTGTGGTCAATAAAAATAGTGCATTTGGTTTCATATAGTTCTTCCCACGCACCATCGATTACCTCGAAGTGTATGCAATAATCTCTTCCTTTTGCATCATTGCACAATCCTAGGATTGGTGCAATGTGTCACAATATTTTTTGACACTGTCCACACCCTTTGGTACAATAAGGGCTGACATGTTACACAACTTGTGGTTTATCAATTTGAATACATCTAATTCTTTTTACCAAAAGAACTTCAAAATTTTGGGTCATTACATTTAGTGGTTAGGTGATCTTAGAGAAGTACGATTCATTTTATAGTTGGTTGAACAAATTGTTGTTTCAGCGAAGAGAGTATATGTGTTTGATCATCAATTTATTCAGTTCTTTATAATTGATGTACATTTGATCGATTCATCATTCTATTTAACGGATAGCGCCAGTGCACCCCATCATGAAGAATTTGGATGAAAGAACCCTTTTTTGAGAGGTTTCTTGAGTTGACCATATAGCTCTTGCATTTCATAAGGGTGTTTAGCGGTATGATGCTTTAATTATAGGTGCCTCCGTTTAAATTACGTCAATTCTGAACTCGACCTGTCTAGGCACGGAAGGTTTAGGCAATTCCTTTGGAATTTGTTTTGGGTTTAAGGTGACACATCTAACATGTTGGTTTTGCAGTCTACATGTTGGATATCAAAAGGTTGGAAAAATAGATCTCTAGATTGGTTGATGGGAAGGACTTAAGGATTGCTATGAAAATATTAGAAATGGGCATAGAGAGAAATGCAGTTGATGGTATTCTAAAATCCGCTCGAAACAAGTAGGTCCAAAAATTCCTAAGAACATATGGATAGGAGCAAGCCCAAACATATGCATTTGAGAAGTCTCTTAAGACTTTCAAAGAATCGGTCTCTAAAGAGAGAGAATGACCTACAAGGAGTGCTCAAGGCCTTTTTCATATTATTATATGACAACATAATGTATATGACAATATGCACTAGACCAAATGTTCCTCGTACATTAGGAATAGCGAGTCACTTTATAATCCAAGGAGATAACAGTGGGATGGTGTCGATTAGCTTCCATGATACAAGAAGGGTATTTCAAATGTTACTTAGAGTAACAGATCATAGTGGCCATAAATGCTCCAAATGTGATTGTATTAGTGTCAAGCAAGGTTTAGATACGTCCCCGAAATGGCTTAAGAAGACTATGTGATCGTGGTACCTTCCATCGTGAAGTAGTTCTCTACAATGATGTTTGAGAGGTAATATCCCCTCCAGGTCTCGAATAATTTTTTAATGGGTTAGTTGCCCTCATTATTAAACTTTTGTAATTAAGGATACAAAAGAAAGGGATTCGAACTTAAGGATTGAGGTAAAATCTCTAGGAGTATTTAATATTATAAGATACTTATACGTGTGATACCCGTACACTACAATATAACGAGAGTGAAGTCTATAGCAAGGTATAGGGACTAGCAATATAACCTAGTCAGTGATCAGGTATGTGGAATATGACGATGAAGAAGTCTACCTAAGGAGGCTTTGACACAACTGACTAGCATGTAGGTCTCCTAGGTAGGTTCCAGACTACTAACCTCCTCTCGAGGCTCCGATCCCATATAGGAGCCCTTTTCTAGCTCAGTACTGGATTATTTAATTAATTCACATCCGATAATTTATTCTCATGCGTCGCTTGATTTGGGAACGCGATACATAGAGTTCAAACCACCTAAACTGTACATAAGGAATTCTAGCGTTTAGAAGCATTTTAGCAGCCTAATGTAACTTGGTAGCCATGTACACTTCAGGGTTTCTATTTTTTTAGTGTCTAAGTAGATCCTATGTTGTTCATACCACTCACAATAACATATTTCGGTCTTGCACTTGCTCTTCCTTAATTATACATAGGTGATCAGGTAATGTCTAATTAAGGTCCAATAGTGCACTACCCGATTTAGTTATACTAGATGGCATGATTATTAACTCGTTGGTTATAGTTTAGTCTTTCCAAACGGAAAGGGAAAACCAGTATTTGATATAACCTTCGTCTCTAATACCAAATTTGTCACACCTCGTTAAAGTAGAAACACGAATGGTAATAGGATAAGGTCTCACAACACAAGGTAAATAGGATTACCAACCATAATCATTGAGCATTTTATTTTTACATCATATTCAAAACAATATTATATTTTAGTTCCATACTAAATACTTAACAAGAGCAATAAACGGAAATCATTGTGGCATCTTAAACTGGCTCAGTGACCATTTCCTGAAAAGCATTCAAAAATGAGGTTCAATTATAAAATAGTTGGTGAGCTCAAAGGTTTATAAAGGTACATCGTTTTAGTAAGAAAAATGAATCGATTTTATCTCTCTACCGTCTCTTTAGGTCTATACTCCACCAAATTCATCTACAAGACTCCAGTAATGTGAGCTATCTTATGAAAAATGAAATGAGAAAATATCTCCTACAAAATATTTTTCTATGATCGAATTTTCTCTCACTCAAGGCCATGCAAAATCTGACCTCGCAATTTTGCATAAAGAAACAAGGTATAATGAGTGAGAGAGAGTAAATGGAGAGGGAAGAGCCTATGAACGAATTTTGGGAGGAGAGAAGGGATTAAAGGCTTATTGAAAAATGGTGAACTTTATAATTATGGCCCCATTTCAAATTTTATAAAAAATGTCTTTAGTTTTTATAAAAGTTCTAGATATATTATATAAACTTCCAAGAGTTTATTTCTTGGTTTTTTATTCAAGTACTTTTTTTGAATAAGTTCATAGACTTGCATTTTAATTTTAATTGTAGGAATTAGTTATTTTGTGATTTAAATTTTATAACAAAAAAAAAAAAAAAACCAATGTATAGCTTATGTAAACGAAATAAGGGTTCATAATATAAGAACGTAGGATTAGGTAATCCTTGAATTATATTTTTGATTCATAAATTAAATCATAAATTGCATGAACATTGTCTCAAATTTGTAATTAAATCATATTATGATTTAATTAGTTCACATTTGTTTAAAATAGTTAAACTTGTTAAGAATTTGGAACATCCTAATTGGACAATTAGGTTATTTAACATACCATTGAGCTTTGATCTACAGTCCATGGTTTGGTGTTTAGTTTTAAGCTTGAACTTTGGCACTTTATAACTTAGTTGATGTATTCACAAACCCATGTGAAATTTCAGCATAACCTAAGTTCCAACTAATTGTTCCAATAGATCTATTAAGTCGTGAGTTAGTTCATCTTGTGGCATCTAGAACCAAGTTATGTTCACATATAAAGATGGTGAAGTTCGAGTTGTGTATTATCCTGAGTTTTGATAGATGTCACAGAAATGAACTTCTAAAGGATCTTTGTAGGAAAAAGTTGTTTGTTGAGAAATCTAAAGAATTCTTTTCGATTATTCTTCTTTATGAGATAAACATAACCAAGTTTCGGTTCTTCAATGAGGCCTTCGGCTAGGATCTGGGCTTCAGGGAGTTCGTTAGTGATTATTGCCAGAATGCTTTCGGTTCCGCATAGGTGTGAAAATTCAATGTCGGATTTGAATAACTCATCAATATAGTCTTTCAAGAAATTTATTGCAGCATTGTTGGCTCTAATGCTCGTGTCACTTGACTAGCGATCTCGGAAGTGATCAGCTATGGTGAGAACTCCATTTGGGTTTATCGAAGGAAATTTTGCATCAATGATGGTGATGGTGGCTTCTTTATTCAGAGGAATAGTATATATACAACATGTAATTAAGATCTTAGTAATCCATTTCCGATACCACATTTCCTTTCAGGGTTGTGCGTTGACGGAGTAAAAGTTTCTCAATCTATCACACTCTATTCTGATGATTATTTGAGGGTCATCATTCGGGTGTAGAGGAGTGTACCTGATATACAAATGACTGTGAGGAGAGGTTGGTAGACCAAGTTGATCAACATCCTGTGTTGGAAGATCATAGTACATGAAGGGCACGAAGTGATGCACAACATCATATTCGAATTGTCTTTTTGTGTTTGAAACCAAATACTTTCTTCCAATGCTTGATTAATCTGTTCTTAAGACTAGCCCTCAAGCATCTTACACGTCTTCACTGGGTTGTCAGAGTCTGTTTCAATCTATTTGCCTTTGTCTTGTGGATTTTTGTTTATGCTAGAAATAGAAGAAATGATTTAGTAACCGGATTCGGTGATGAATAATTCGGATGGAGGAGTAATCAGAGATAGGTTTTTGGGTGGGAGAACCTTCATCAATTTGAACTATCCTCGAAGCAGGAATTGGAAGAAGCATAGATTGACTAGCTCAGAATGTGTCAACAGTCAACTTGGTCTTGAGCTTTGCCATGTCTCGACTTCTTCTGAACACTTTGGATAAGGATGATGGCCAAGAAACTGAGGACCATTTCATCCTCTCTGCATCCAAAAGGAGATGCACTAGTTGTTCCTAGAGGTCTTGAAGTCCTAGGATCACATTTTCAGCAAGGCCTTCATATTCATCATCACTTAATTCAATAGCTTCGACCTCAAGAATTTTTTCATCAGTTTATTCATCTCATAGCACAAACTCCAAGACGGGGTTTCATTGTATAGTTCTTTCTCTTCTTTCTCTTTCTCCCCCCTCTTGCATGGGATGGCCCTACCTCCGATGCAAGTATAGATTTGTGTTTGAGTTCCTCTGATGGTTCAAAGACTCTTTGAAAGATGGTTTTGAGTTGTTTGGTGAGAGAATCATAAGTCTCGTTTGTAAAAGCTTGAGCCTTAAGATAGGAAAATGTTTCATCTAGAATTACGAGCATCTCATCGAACTTGTTGTTCCGAACATCAACAATATTCCAGGTTGCTCGGATCAGCTTGATAAGTACCTCTTGCATTATCATGTTCATAGCATCTTTTTTGTGAATCTCCTTTTCCAATCGTTGAATTTCTTTCTCATGACGAACATGATTCTTCCTAATGAGTTCGTTGGTAGCATTAATCATGTCGTCATTAATCTTGAGCATAATCGTGGTGGTGGATATGTGATGATCGAGACTGTCATTACACTTATATTGAACTTCTTCGATTGTTTGCTTGAGCCGGAGGGAAATGAGTTGGTCGAGATGATTGGCTCGGTCCAGTTCTGAGGGAGTAGTAGCTTGCATCTTGGAAAGAGATTTAAGGATGAGCTCTAGCTTGAAGTTAAGACTTGTAAGCTTTTTATCAATCATCGAATCAAGTCCTGCCACTTTCTTATCAAGGGAGTCGACTTTGGAGATAGCAGAGGCAACATTGTATCGGAGTTCTAACAGGGCCAAAGGATCTGCAATATTTTTACCTAAATATTATGTGTGTGAGGTAGAACTCTCAAACTTCTTATAATCATTATCACCATGTGCCTCGGAGGGCTTGGAGTGTCACACCCCGAAAACCGAAGGCGGAAACATTTCTGGGGCAGACTCCACGTTGAGTATCAAATCCAATATACATAGTAACACAGTAAACACAAAACATTACATTACATAGAATTGTTTACATCTGTTTGAAATAAAAGTTATACAAGTGTTATTTACATATATCATATGAACAAAAACAAAGACGAGTCTTCTAACGCTCCGTCTTCTCTAAAAAGATGGCGGTGTACCTGTCTAATGCTGACATGAGAATACAAACATTTTGAAAATCAGCATAAAGCTGGTGAGTTCATAAGCGGTTTAGTTTTGAAAAGAATGTGTTCCCTTTTTGTTTTCTGAAAAAGTTGTTATCCAAGAAAATCCCATATTTTCTTATTAGTTTAATTATCCTTTCGTTACTTAATTTGTTTACGAGTTGTTACATTATTCCAGGAAAATCCCATATTTTCCTAAGTGTTTAGCTGTCCATTCTATACTTAATTCGTAGTTTAGATTTCGATACTAGTAACTACCATACTTATACTATTAGTTAAGTATTCTGATATCTTAGCTATCCTACATTCAAGTGTTGATTATTTGCTATACTTAGTGGTATTTTCGAATATTTGGATTCACTCAGAAACATACATTAATAGTATTTCCGATGTTCTGGTGATTTCCAAAAGAGTACCTTAGACGTATTTTCGAATCTTTGTCGACATCCTAAGGTGCATGTATTTGAAACTCAGTCGATGTCCAGAGGCGTACTTTCGCATTAATTTTGAAACTCTGGTGACACTCAAGGCGTACACTAATTGTATTTATGAAGTCTTGGCGTCATCCAAAGGTGTTATTTCGTATTTGTATTCGTTCTATCCTATTAGCTATATTCGTATTCGTATTCGTATTCGTATTCGTTCTATCCTATTCGTTATCTTTGTATTCGTATTCGTATTCATATTCGTATTCGTATTCGTATTCGTATTCGTATTCGTTCTATCCTATTCGTTATCTTTGTATTTGCATTCGTTCTATCCTATTAGTTATTTTCGTATTCGTATTCGTATTCATATTCGTTCTGTCCCTAGTTGTATTTTATTAGTATTAATCTTAATTTATGATTAGTATGATTCCTTATACAAGATATAATATGAAACTTAGATTATAACATCTTTTAAAGGAATCTACATTTAGTTTGACAATTTACTCTGCAATTTGAACCAATGGTTAGTACGATTTTTGGTATTAAAAGTATACATAATATGAAACATTTGAACAGAAAACTCACCGGTTGAGGAACGCATCGGTTTGGATCCTAAATGTCAGTTCTGGGTTTGCAAATGCACAAGATTCCTATGTATTATGAAAAGATACACATTTGTATCTAATTAGGACTTGAATTATTTATTAGTTAGGGACAAACACTTCTAATCGCGAAAACACTACATTACAAGCGTTTGGAGGGACCTGGGTGGCATTTAAGGACACATATGGCTTGGATAATGTGTTTACTCTTTTGAGAGCAAACCCCCTTATGGAGTTTCCGGCCCTAAGACCGACTCCACATGATTTCACAGCCGTGAACTCATGGGTGAGGGTTTTATGGTGCTAAATGGCCTTATATGACTTGGGAAAATTAGCTAGGATCAAATCTAGGGCATAGGAATGGATTTACATCACTTATGGACCATTTAATGGAGTTTATGGCAGTAAACTAGGATTTTACGGCTGTAAACTCCCCCATACCCATTCCTTATGTGTTTTGGTTGTGTTAGGACAATCACATGTGATTTAAACTCATTTTACAAGCCATGGATGGAATTTAGGGCATCATTTGTCCATGTTATAGGAGTTTACGGCCCAGGAACCGATCCTGGGGGGGGGGGGGTTTACGGTCATGAACTCCTAAGGGTGCGGTTTTCATTGAGTTTAAGGCTTCCAATTCGCTTGTGGTTGATTCTAGAATTTATTCCAAGGCTATTGGTGTGTTTAAATGGCAATTTAACACTTGAAAATGAGTTTACTCTCCATGGTATGGAGTTTAAGGCCCAAGCATGTTCTTGGGAAGTAAACTCATGTTTACTCTCCAAAAATTAAGTTCAAGATGTTCTAAGTCCATTTTGGTAAGCCCCTAAGTCATATCTAAGCTCCAAAGGTCGATTGGAAGGGTTTAAAGGCTCAAAAACCCATTTTATATGTGTTCATGGCCCAAGGGTGTTCTAGGGCCGTAAACACATGATTATGGTCCTATTCCATGATTTGAACTCGAATTTGAAGGTCTAAGATGCTATACTAGGAGTTAGGGTAGTTACCTTGGTGATTTGGAGGATAAATTTGATGCTTTTGGACCTTAATCTTGAGTTTGAGGAGAGAGGTTAGAGAGAGAGTAATGAGAGAGAGGAAAGGATTCAAATGAAGTCTTTTGAGCTTTAAATAGGTCCTAAGTTCAGGACACGGTGGAATTCTACCCGATACCGACGTTAAACGGGGCTTTTGGTCGCACCCGATTAAGTTATCGTAATCCGGTGGGATAGAATTTGGAAATTTTCAATTTAATGATTTTGGGCCATTTTCATGAGTTTCTAAGGGATTTGAGCACTCATAAGAATAAAAAAAACTTATAAGTTTAAATAACTTAGCCCAAAAACAAAATCAGAACGAACCACTATAGACTGGTTTTACGGACGAAATGGCTTTCGGCGATGGACAACTTCGAGTTGTTACATGGAGTCATCAATCAGATGGCTTAAGCCTCATTACCTTGATCACTTTCCAAGGAAACTCTAGGAGAGAATTTCTTGTTGGCTTCATCATGTTCTTCTTGGGATTCCTCGAAGGGTGAGGAGAGACCAAAATCATAAAACGGTTTCGAGTAGGAAGGATTCTGCAACATATTGAGGGATGTGAGGCTCGAAATAACACCAACTATTGTGCTGTCATCTTTAAATATTAAATCATCTGAGAGATCCTCTTCAAAAGTAGGCTTGGTAGTTTCTTCAATTGTGAAGGTTGGAGGAGGATCATCTGAAACATTTGTAGAATCCGGAACATCCCCTATAGTAGTCATATGAGCTCCTTCAAAAGGATTGAGCACATGATAATCTCTTCATCAAATCGACAAGTGAATGGAAGACAACTTCAGAGAGCACGTTTATGCATAGAGATAAGCTTATATTCCACTTGTGCTCTGGTTAGCTGCAAATGTCTAAAGTGATCCATGTTAACAAAATCTAACCAATCTTTTTCAAAAATACACGATCGTCCTTTACCTAAAGCAGATATCAGACGGTTGTGGCTTTTGAAATGGGAGGGACTACTCCAGCTTCAGGAAGCTTAGAATTAGATATAGGTGCCCTAATTGTGCTTGTGTAGAATCGAAAGGCATTTCCAAAAAGACTCGAGAGTGTGTCCCAGGGTATTCAAGGGACTATGTTCAATACACGCACCATCTTTTTGGGAAGATGGGGGTAGATTATGTCCAGACTCCCCATGAGTGTTTGTGTGTGGGGGGGTGACATTGAAACTCTGAAGGGTACTTCAAAAGAGTGGATGGTGGGGGTAGGATGTAATATAGAGTTAGATCGAATGTCAATATGTGAATCTTATTGAAAAGATTCATTGGCTTTGGTTGTCTTTTTGGCTCAGACTTTTGATGGAGATTGCTTTCATTTGGCCCTCTTCTTCTTACATCCTCATGAAGAGGTTGATTTTTTCACATCTAAGGATGGATCATCTGAGTTTGGGGTAGATTGTGTAGGGTCATACACAACCGAAATCTCAAGATGGTGTTTGAGATATGGTGAATCAGATGGAAATTCAGCTAACGTGTGTTCTGGAAAATGTTGGATGGGTCCAAAAGTGGATTGGTTTAGTAAACTATAAGTTTTTATAGCTTTAAAGGAACAATATACCTTTTTGAGATCGGAGTTAAGAGGAATGGCTTCTAATCTTTCATCATACAGCTGTTGAAGTGTTAGTGCCCATAATCTTGGACTGGATATCTCATTAGGCTTCCTCTTGATGGCGAATTTCCTAAAGTATTACCATAGCACTTCATGGTGTCCATACCACCATCTTTTCCAGACAAACCTTGAAGGATTAACTACATAAGTACGGTCCATAGTCCAAGAACATTAGACTTCTTGAAATCCCTTTCCTTGAATTCTCCATTATACCTAATTTGGTTCAGAAAAAATGAAACTCTTCAGTCGTTGGTTCTTGAACATGAATACCTTTGGGGTTTTCTTCAATTCTGATGGCCTTGAGGAAGGTGTTGTGGAAAGGAACAATTTTATCATCATCGGTCTTCACCTATAGTACATCATCTTCAATCTTGATTTGTTCAAATGCTTTGTGAAGAATGTGAAGAAGAAGTTTAGGGTTAGGATTTTGGTGATAGGAACTGCGATAGGGTGCTGGGATGAACTCAATCATGATGTGGATGGATTCATCATAATCAATGGGATCAAGAGAAAATAGTTGAGTGGTTTCTCTCAGGATGACCTCAGTAGACGATGTCACACCCCCGAACCGTGGAAACGAACGGCGGAAACGTCTGGGGGTGGATGACGTCATGCGTAGTATCACAACAATTGTATCATAGTAATCAAAGTAAACACAATCATTACATTGCAATATGAATATTTACATATGTTTGAAAACATAGTATGTGTACATCAAAAAGAAAACAAATGTAAAAGACGAGACTTCAAAATACTCCGTCTTCTCTAAAAGCTGGCAAGGGATACAAGCGATTTTTGGAAATGTATCAGCATAAAGTTGGTGAGCTCATAAGCATGTTTTTGTAATGAAAACTAGTTACTGAATTTGTATAGTTAATTCATTTTCATTATATGTAAAACATCGTTAGTATCAAAAACCTGGTGACTATCAATATAAAGAATGTATTTCCTTTGAAAACCTTGGCTACCACTAGTAGGTAAAGTACGTCCGATTTGTCTGGGAAAATCCCTTATTCTCCCTGGTATGCATGTATTAGTTGCTTTCATGGTTTCGAAATCGTAACACATAAGTAACATACTTATGTTATTAAAGCAATTGTTTATGAGAGGTATATTATTACGTAAACGAGTCGTATGATTGGCGAGTTTTATGACCATACTTAAACTTGACTCGACGTAAAACGGCCGTCAAAATCCTTTATGATATTTATCACCTGTAGACCTATCGGTCCAACTGTAGCTAGTAGCCAGGTGCGGGATAGTCAGTCCCGTACAGATCTATACACAAAAGCCACGCTTTCCCTCTATGAAATTTTGGTTCATAAGGGTAGTCCCACACTTAGGTTATATTGTAAGCGCCCAAGGACATGTCTCCCAATTAAGTTGACGACATTTCAAGTAATAATATATAGGTATAATGTCTTTCGTATGAAAATCCGATGTACGTTTTCTAGAGTAAAAATAATTATACTAAAATAATTATTTACTGTTATACTCTCGTAGTAATGTATGGTATATGATATAAACTAAATTTTTCATAATTTATGTATTCAATCGTGTATGTAGTTTGTATCTGTAAAACTAATAATGAAATTCCCAAACTATACCCTTTATAGTTTGATTGTTAGGTTAAGTTCGTAAAGTGTTTCAGAAATTATGCAATTAACTTTAGAAAACATCCCTTATGCTCTGCATAGTACAAAAGGGATCAGGTATCTAATTGCTTTACGAAAACTGTTAATTTTTATAAATGGCATAAGTTTGACTTGTTGAAAAATTTGTGTTTGACTTGTATTCCCCCCCCCCCCCCCAAAAAAAAAAAAAAAAAAAAGCGTTTAAAAAATCATAAAAGCGTAGAGGTATGAGCTCACCATTTGTTGGATGCAAAGGACTGAATTGGAAGATCCTCGAGTTGGTGCACGTGCCACTTAACGGATTCCAAATATCAATAAATACATATATGTATCTAAATTAGCAATTACGTTAGATAAGGGGTTAGAAAAACACTCGTTTTCGGTTAAGGAATGTTACCGGGACTTGGTTGAATTGAGGAAATGGGTTTTCACCACTTAAGAGGTGTTTACAACCGTGAATGGGGGTTTATGGCCATGAACTTGGTTTGCGGCCGTGAACAGGGTTTACGGCCGAGAACTGGGTTTACGGTCGTGAACTCTCTTTTGCAGGGTTTACGGCCTTTGAAGTTTTGAAGGGTTTACGGCCGTAAACTCAAGAACAAGGGTGCTCGATTTTGACAAAAATGTGTTCCAAATGCTCCTAAACGACCCCAAATGATGATTTTTTATGTTTTTCGAAAGAAATGAAGGGTTTTATGTGTTTACGGTCAAGAGAGTTAGAGAGAGAAGGAGGGTGTTTTCGGCCAAGAAGGTTCAAATGAGGTTGGGGATCAGGGATTCCTGGGAGTTATTCGGGAAAAGATCCATCCTTCTTTTTCACAAATAAGACAGGGGCTCCCCAGGGTGAGGAACTCGGTCTAATGAATCCTTTTTCGAGGAGCTCACTGAGCTGGCTGGATAACTCTTGCATTTCTGCTGGAGCTAGATGATATGGGGATTTAGCTACGGGGGTAGCTCCGGGAATTAGGTTGATGCTAAACTCAACTTGACGTTCGGGAGGAATTCCTGGGAGTTATTCGGGAAAAACATCAGGAAAATTGCAGACTTCAGGATGCTCTCGAGGTCTTTAACTTCCTATTTCTCGTTAACGACATGATCTAGGAATGCATGACACTCCTTTCGCAGAAATTTTTGGGCTTTAATACACGAAATGATACAAAGGTCCCAGCTAAGTTTATCACCATAGATCAGAAGGTTTCACTAGAGGGAAGATTGAGATGGATATATTTGTCGTAGCAAAGGATATCAAACATAAGATTGATTGGAAAGTAATGATCATTTAAGGTAAGGGTACAGCCGAGGAATATGTTGTTAGTGCTCTCTTTCTCATTGTTAGCCATCTCAACGGTAAATGGTTCGGTTAAAGGTTGGGGTTTATGTTTGAGGAGATGCTTGAATGCATGACTAACAAAACTTCTCTCCCCAACAAAATTAAAAAGAATGCATGCATAAGAGTTGTCGAGGAGGAACGTACCCGTAACAACGGTGGGATCTGCAAATGCTTCCTCTTGACCAATCGCTAGCACCCTCCCTATGTTACTAGTGGTTGTTTCCTTGGGGCAATTTCTCTTTTAGTGCCCGACTTCTCCACAACAATAATAGGCTTGACCCACGCCTGCTCTAGAAGTCTGATTGGTTGGCTGGACTTGTGTCTTGCAGCCTCGAGTTGTGTGACCCTTCTTGCAACATTTGTTGCAGAGCATTTCACGACATGGTCGGGATTATGATGGTAATTGCACTTATCGCACCGAGGAAGAGTACCAGCATATCCATTGGTAGGTGCTTGAGTGGCAGGAGCAGCGGTGGGAGTAGTTGCAGCGTGAACTGGCCGAAATTCGAAATGTATTTCTCCTCCCATCATTTTGCTAGTGGTGATTGTGAACCATTAGAGGTGCCACACTTGAGGCACTAAGCTTTCAAGTGTCAAGGATCTACAAGGAGTTCTTGTTATTACTACATAACAAGTAAGGTAAACATCAAAAACCTTTCATTATGTGATTTTTGAATTATATATGCTAGATCTAGGGTTTTGCTTTGGTATTCAATTTGCATGTTTAACAAGTGAAAATTTTAGATCCAAAGCACTTAAGGTTGCATGATCACATAGGATGTAGTTATGCTCAAAACCCATCAGTGGTATCAGAGCCTAGGATGTTTTCAAGATGAGTTTGATGCATATGTGAATTGTCCAAAGGAGGAGGGAACAGATTCATCAATCTGTTCATCAGACTCGATGAGTTCATTGCCTGGCTCAATGAGTTGACTCGTCAAATCCCTGATTTTTTGATTTTGATATCTTCATTTGTTTAGGATAATTACCTTAATTCGTTTTAACTGCTTAAAATTGGATTTTTCTGAAAAGGTAAATGTATATCTTTATCAAGATAAATGATTTGGTCAAATTCTTTTAAGATAAAGAAAAATTATTTATTAATTTAATTATTTAAAATTTCATCTAGTATTTTTATAAA